CCGGACGAGCGGGTCGTCGGCGCTGCCGTCGTCGTTGCCGTCATCGTCGGCCCTGCTTGACGTGGCCGAGCGCCCGTGGCGAAAGAGAGGCGAGTGAAGCCGACTACGCGCGTTGATGATGTTGGCCTGCCGCGGCCGGCTACGTCCATGCGTGTCAACCATGATGGGTCGAGGAGCGTGCTATGGGCAGAGGAAGACGAAGATGAGCCTCCGCGGTCAGGGACTCCAACGCCACGTGGCAAAACTTATACAGTTTCTTATCTCTATGCATTGATACAGTATATTTTATATGACAGGTTTTAGTGCTGATTCTCTAAGCCTATTTGTATACACAGTTCGATCAGTATATTACAAATATCTATTGCCACAGGTTACAGCCAGTGACAATACGATGAGGCAACTTAAGTCCGGTTTGTGGACAGCGTACTTTAATGGACGTTCTTTTAGTATACTTTGTTATATAGACTCGGAGAAGTACGGTTAGCAGCGCCCTCGGCACGCCACGTCTTCAGACAGGCGGCAGAGGCAACGATACCAGCATCCGGTACCGAGACCGATTCGCCTGCAGGCCTCCGTTATGGCGTGGAGGCAATATGCATCTGCATTGCGTTCGCTTCCTCGATGCATTGTCGCTCAACAAATCGATCAGGATTTTGCGTCCATTAGTGGTCCTTTCTAATTGATTTCAACTCGAACACGTTTGATTGATGATTGATAGTGGTACATGCAGGGGTATAAATTTCATCCCCGGAGCTTGAGGAAGATGCGCTTGAGCACTCGCGCCTACCAACGGTGTTGGACAGCAGCGCACTAATAGGTGGTACCTCGTAGCTCACGGTGTGGGCCGCCATGTCGTTGTTGCCGGCGGCCGCCTCCATCTACCAATGCATGAGACGACGTCTTCGCTCCTCGAAATCAACCCCCGTCGTCGTCGGAATGTCGGCGCCGTGCGTGTCGGCGGCGTCCAGAAAGTCCTATCACGTCCTTAGCACCCGCTTCGGAGTCGCTGCACTACGAGGATGTCGGCCATGGTCGAGTCTCGGATCGTCGTCATGTGTTTGGCCAGCGTGAGCGCGAGGCCCATGAAGCAGCGCTTGGCGTAATACCTACAAGAGCTCAGTAGGGAAGGTGACACACCCGAGGGCAGTACCACGTGTCCGTGCCCAATTTGCGGTGGTACGGCTCCATACTCTAACAGTCGGTTGTAGAGAGCGTACAATGGTCCAAGAACCTTCATGACGCGGCAGATGCCAAAGTCGTAGTTGTTCTTGGAGCAGTAGAGCGTTCCGATCACGAGGTTGACGATGCAGAGATGGAAGAGCCGCTTCTCCGGGTCCCGCGCCGACTCTTCCTCCTCTTCACGCTCGATGGATCGGAGGAGCTCTTCGGCCTAGTACCGCAATTGGTACTGTCTGTGTCTGCTCTATTTTCTGCACCTTCTCGTTGTCCGTGTTCATGACGTAGCAGACGCAGAGGTTGGCGAGGATGATGGCCTGCACTTCGAGCAGGTTTTCCTACCGAGAGATGGGAAAATGGGGTTGGCATCGTTTCGGGTACTTGGTGTTTCTTGACAAACGGCTCGTAGTACTGGATCGCTTGCTCGTACTTGTTGCCTTGGAGGAAGAAGACGTGGGCGACGTTGAGCTTCCAGCTTTCGTGCTCGGAACAAAACTCGGCCGTTTGCCGGAAGATCTTTTCGACTTGGGCGTAGTTGCCGCGGTCCCAGTAAATGTTGGCTACGACCTCTCAGTATACACTGACAGAGAGGATCGAACCTTGGGCCATGAGCACGGGCATGAAGTCCTCAAGTGCGTCGTCGTACGCCTTCAAGCTCGCCTTGATCTCGTCGTTGGACTGCGCGATGCGGGCGGCTTGGATCTTTTGCGTGAGCTTGCGCAGAATCTCAACGTGCTTGGTTGCCAAGTCGTCGTACTTGCGGTAGGCCTCTTCGGGGGACGTTTGGAGCTATAGACAAAATGTATCAGGGTGCAGTAAGAACGTAGATACCGTGACGCTGGCATCCACAAACTCAAAAAAGTCTTTTGAGAGCAGTTGGAACGTCAAGTGCGTGTTCTCGGCGAGCACGTCGGCCATGAGATCGTGGAACCCGTGCTTCATGTAGAGAATCTACCAAAGATACGAGTTTAGTCGTGAGGGCAATATTGAGATAGACCAAAAGGTTGGAGAACGTCTCGACGGGGAATGGAGGGTTCTGAAGGAGAAAGTTGAGCTTCTTGAAGCCACCGTTCGGGTCCACGTCCATGTTCATAAGAGCAAAGTTGTGCAACGACACCTAGTGCATGTGAGCGCCTTCGGCCACTCAAACCAAGAGCGTACCGAGTCAAGTTCTTCTTCGGCCCGCGGCGGCATATCCAGGAGGGCGTCACGTGAGCCCTAGCGTATTTGAGGAATTTCGGCATCCTTTAAGGACTACCTTGAAGTTCTTCATGTCGTACTCGATCGCAGCCTTGAGGTTGAACGCTTCCACAAGTGCCGTCTACATGATTTTTTCGCATTCGAATCGATCGGGTGCTGGCAAAAAATGCGGACCTCGCGCAGCACGGTCGAGTTGCGGACACTCTTGACGTCCGTGTTGCTCTCGCTCTTGCTCCCGACGCTCAATTCGGGGTGGTCACGCACCTAGCGACAATGCAAGATGGTGGACCGCCACTTCGAACCCAGAAAGCGTACGCCTTTTTCGATGATTTCAGCGATTTGGCGCATCGCGTTGCCGTATTGTTTGAGGCGAAAGTAGCAGAGCGCGATATTGTAGCACAGGTCCGATTGGTACCTACGTCGGCCTCGTGTCACGCCTCGCGCACGCGCCGAAGAAGTAGAACCCCAAGACGTTCATGGCGTCGTTGAATTTTTTCTTGGCCTCTTCAAAGCGTCCTTCCTTGTACTCGATCGCACCGTCAAACACAACCTAAGTGGAACTCAATTTTTGGGATTCAAACGCAAAATGTACCGTTGTCGGGTCGTCGCGGAGGCACTGGTCGAGGATCGATTGCGTCGCCTTCATGTCGTTTTGCTCATAGTAAATGGCCGACCGCAGCAGCGCCACCTACAACATGTCTGCAGCATGCGATCTATCGGCGGCAACGTACCCGGTGCGAGTACTGCTCGCTCTCCAACTGGCTGGCTTTGCGCGACGCCGCATCGTACTGGCCCGCCTAATGCGCCACAAAGATGATGCAAGGTGGTCAACTCCATCCGTGCCTTGTAGAGCGACTGGGCATAGTAGAGGTGGTAGTCTTCGACGTCCGGGAAGAGCTTGCAGAGCTGTTCGTACATGGACACGGCGTTGTGAAAGCTCTGCATATGGTAGTAGCAGTAGCCTACGCACGATATAAATCAATACGACTCTAGTTGCAAGCGTCACCGAGGAGCGACAAGGCGGCTCGGCTGCACGGGTGGTTCTGCAGCTCGATCTGCAGGATGCGGACAGCTTCGTCGTACTTTTGGTCGCGAATGTGGCCGTACACCGTCGAGGTGTAGCTGCCGCCTACTACAAAAGCGCGTCACTCTCGTGGGATGACTCACGCGCGGGCTCGCACCGTCCTTCATCTGCTGGTACATCGTGGCTCGGTGGTGACGCTTCGGGTTTTCGGATCTCCTTTCGACGCCTCGATTGGTGCACTTTCCACAAATTCCAGTGTTTTCATTGGTGGTTGTGAAGAAAGCACATGGATTGGTCGAAATTCTGCGCTGCGATCTTGGGCAGGCATGGTTCAGCCACGAAGCAGGGCAGTGGACGGTGCACTTGCTTTGTATGCTCTGCGCAGCTTTGTTACTGCATTACGTGCACTTGAAGACCAAAAGTTGATCGTTAGGTCATGCGTCATGGAGAACAATAGTCTTATCAGGGCCTTGGTCTTATGTTGGAGCCTTGAAGCTTAGTCCTTGGATGTAGCGTCATGTACGCGCGTTTTTGTAGTATACTTCAACGCTGCAACGCTTTGTCGGCTCAAGTAAAATCTCTCGCGTTGCATGGCCAGGGCGGGGGCACGATAACGGCTTAGGGACGCATCGGATTGGCTGTTTCCAAGTGAACATCATGTGCTGATTGGTGCACGCTGAAAGCGCCGTGCGGATTGGTGGATTTTGTCCGCGATCTTTTCGGGGCTTGACCAAGAGTGGGCAGATGATGCACGACCGCAACGCGTTGCAGCACCTGAACACAGACGATGCAGGTATGTATGTATTTGACGCAAGCGTAGTCTGAACTAATATCGTTGGCGCGCATACAGTCTGCAAAATGGTCTTTCGCCCTCGTGAGTTGCTTGTCGCAATTGATTCATGCACTGTACATTCAGACACGACCAACTTCAACACGGCATTGTATACGTCACTGCGATGGCTAGAGACGTATGCACCCGTGGACTTCAAGTCTTCTCACAAGTGATTCGTGCCGGCTATGTAACCGAGTGTCCATTGGTGCTGCTCCGGCATTGTACTTGTCAAGGCGGTGATTCATACATGTACATGTACAGAGACAGGCTCGTCTTGAGGCGACAGTGCGAGCATTGACTTTGGACAGCACCTACTGAGAGCTCGTTCCTTGAAGCGCCACCTTGCAGTTGCCCATGGCATGGAAGAATCCATCACCGATGACATCTCCGTGTCCGCAGTGTCCTCTGCAGTGCGATGCTTGGTCCTGTCTGACTCGTATTCTCGATCTCGAACGTGTGTACGCGGTCTACAGGCACGTCTGCAGAGCGGCTCTATGGCACATTTCGTCTTCCTCATGTTACCGCCGTGCACGTTACAGGAACCCGCTTCAGCAAGTCGGTCCAGAGACTAAACAACGGCGCGGTCTTTATTCCGATGCAGTTGGCATTGTTGGCGGCAATTCATTACAGCCAATGCTTGTCCTACGATAACGAGCTATCCGGTCCAGAGTAACTTGACCAATCTCGCGTGACGCGTCGTGACACGTGCCAGAAACGTCAAGGACAGCGCGACAGCTGCGACGACGAAGACGACGTTGCGTCCCGTCTGTGGCGGAGATCGGGCTGGTGCAACGTCGACAGCTTCGCGGCCTCTACACGCCCTCGCCGCATCCTTTCGGAAGCCCATTACGGCGTGACTGACTGATTGATGGCAACACGTGGCCCGCGCAAAAAGCCGGACGCGTTCATCTCGCGGGTAGTACACTGCAGTAATACACTACCCTGTAGACGAAGCCGAGGTGATGGCGGCTGCATCGACGCATGCACTCGGCGGCGAGAGAGTTGGATGATCGTGTCTTTGTAAAAGGGCGCGCCGCCGACATGACCTCTTCGTCGCACGTGTGAGTCACGGCGCCGCAGGTTCGGGGAACGCGGCCGCACCACGTGGCCGTCCCAAGCTGCTTGCGAGCGTGAAGAGGTGACAAGTGCACATGCTCTGAACATTTCTCTGCGTCCGCAAGCACCCAGCACCCGCGCAACCCCGGATGCGCTGCGGTTGTGGCGGCGCCGGTGGCATAGGTCATGCCAGTAGACACACGCAAAAGCCATCGACGGGGCGCGCCTTTCTGAGGCAGGAAGCTTGGCGCGCGCTCATGTTCAAGGCGAAGCGCAACTGCAAAGTGGTATGCAAGCCACAATCATTACTCATACAGGCATTACTCACCCTCGACGTACGGCGCTGTCAGCGTCGGGAATACGTTGCATCCAGCCAAGCGCTCTCGACAATGCGCAGCGAGCGAGGTGTTTGCTTCGATTCGATAGAGAGAGGGCGCTCGAGGCCCCGGCGTTAAACAAAGGACACGGGTGGGGCGCCAAGTTCACCGCCGGCTGTGAAAACACACGATTTGCGTCGTCGGCGTGGGACGTGATGCAGACTACAAGCAGAACCTCTCTACAATAGCCATAATAAGACCCTCACGACGAGAAAAGGATGTGTTGCAATCGCCTCAGCTGATGAATAATTGTCCACCTTTGGCGAGAAGACGGAGCACATCGCGTGTTACTCGTGTGGGTGCCCGTGCCACGTGCTCGCAGAGAGTCAGGGGTCTAAAATTCGTGATCGCACTGCAATCCTTGAAGCATGTATGCTCGTCCGACTCTTTGAGCTGCGATAAATAGCATTGACACTTTTGATTTTCCATGCTCGGGCAGACCCATCCAAACACCGCCATGTCCGTGGACGTCTCGTCGCTCCTGCACTTCAAGGACACCCTGTCGTCGTCGGCGGCGTCGTCGCCCAGCATGAGCAGCATCCGCCTCTGCACGTACCCACACTGCGACAAGAAGGTGCGCTCGAAAGGTCTCTGCAAGGCGCACGGCGGCGGTCTCCGCTGCTCGGTCGCAGGCTGCATGCGCTCGAGCCAAGGCAAAGGCTACTGCATTCGCCACGGCGGCGGCAAACGCTGCTCGATCGCCGACTGCAACCGGTCGTCGCAGAGCAACGGTCTCTGCAAGTCCCATGGCGGCGGTCTTCGCTGCCAGATCCCGCACTGCAACAAGAGCAGTCAGGGCGGCGGCTTCTGCCGCATGCACGGCGGTGGCCACCGGTGCCGGACGCCGGGATGCGACAAGGGCGCCCAGCGCAACGGACTCTGTGCGAGCCACGGCGGCAACCGCATGTGCCAATTCGACGGTTGCAAGAAGAACGACCGCGGCGGCGGCTTCTGCGCCGAACACGGTGGCGGTCGCCGATGCTCGGTCGACGACTGCGACCGCCCTGCACGCAAGCAAGGCATGTGCTCCAACCACTTTCCGGCGCCTGTCGCAGCGGTTCGGATTCCCAACGCTGTCTATGACGCCGACGGCCTCAATGTCCACGCGTCGCTGAAGAAGGAGCAGACAGACCGCGTTCTCGCCGAGATCCCGCAAAGCGCGTTCGAGCCGTACGTCGACGTGTACGAACAGACGTCGAACGGGTGCTTCAAGGCCGAAGCGACGCATTTCGAGTACTACGAGCCGCTCAAGCAGCAGCAACACACCCCATGGACTATACAAGCAACAACATGCACGCCATGTACCAGACGTACGAAGAGCCGCCGCGCATGGAGCTTCTCCAGCAGCAACAGGCGTACGCGCCGTATCCTGAACACACGATGTATGCGCAAACAACCGTGTACCAGCTCCAGCCGCTCGACCGGTACGCGTCGGGGGGCATGCCCGAGAATTACCACCACCACCTCCACCACCAAGACCCGCGGGGTTGTATTAGCCACGTTATTTAAAATATACCCTAACCCTAGAATGAAATCTGCTTTTTCGAATGGACACTGCAAATTCTCTGCAAATGCACTCGATTGACAGGACTCTTGAGCAGCACAGCACTACGTGCCGCCTCGTGTTGTGCTAGAAAGGTCGTCGTCGTTATCCTCGTGCGAGCAGCTGCGCGAGCATGACCTTCCCCACGACTTGAAACATCGCACTGCAGTTGGTTCGGGAGGCTGCTACGCGGTATGGCTCCGTATCTAGGGCGGCCACCAAATGGCAGCCCCGCGCACGATGTAGAACCCCGCGCTTTGCAGGTACTTTCAACGTCCAACTGTGCGCTGACTTGAGTCTGAGTTGGTCTCGGCTACACCCTGAGGCGACTCGCGTACGAGGGACCTTCCACGTAATCGTATGACGTAGGATCTGCTTGAAATGCGTCTGGCCGGTTGGAACACGTTGCATAGGCGAGTGGAGCGTACGCGCCTAATAATCAAGTTCCGACGACGTGCAACGGTTCCACTGCAGCTGCTGCGCATACACAAACCAGCTGCCGTGGTCAAAGAAACGCCCTGATCTTGTTGTTGAAGCGACCCGATCTGAGGTTATTCGATGCCGGTGAAGGTGCTCGCTGATTCCTTTTCGTTCTCTAATGGCGAGAGGTGGCGAGGCATCTTGCTCGAGTCTTACTCGTCGTTGCGAGAATGGAGCTTCCTGTGCAAACTGGGCCTCGCGATCGACGGTGGGACGATTCGGTCAAACGCGTCAATGGCTCTCAGTGTTTTGGCGTGTGATGCCACGCCTGATGCGACCAGACGACGGAGGCGTGGCCGTCTGGAGGGCAAGGCGTGTAGATGGCGCCGGCCAGAATATAATGATGCAGCCTTATCCGACAACTCCTCGAAAACTGCAGTAAACTCCATTTAGCATTCCACCGTAGGACGGTTGTCACAATTTATGCGGACGTAGCTAACTGCGTAGCTGGTCTACCCGACGTGGGCCTGCAAGCAGTGTGAGCTCGTGTGCAATGGTGCCCACGTCGATTGGCGACGAACTTGAGGCGACGACACCGACGTCGGCGTGTGTGCTGTCGCCGTCAAGCAGCCGCAGCACAAACCATGGAGCTTGATCCGGACCGAGAAGCAGGTATCCACCGTGGGTGGCCAAAGCGTCCCGCGGCGACAAGCGCAAGAGGCCGCGCAGCTTGGCGAGGTCCAGGCCTCGAACGGTCGTCGCTGGGGCATCGGGAATCGCCGTACTCGTCGAGTGTTCGATGCTGAGCTGCTGGAGGTAATAGATGCTGAACTCGTGCGACGTCTCGAGGCGCTTGCCAGTGCCAGGGCTGACGCATGACACCGCGATGCGGCCGTCGAACTGACCGAGAGATGGCAGCGCCAGTGGTACGAGAACGTTGATCGCGTCGTGCACAGCGAGGTCTTGTGGCACCGACCGCGTCAGCAGCTCGTAGTCGGCATCCGGGCGCTCGTGCGGGCGCAGCGCAATGGCAATGGCGACGACTGGGATCGGGATCGTACCGAGGTTGGTGGCGCGGACGTCAACGGCCATCGACGGGCTGGACGCGACGACGCAGGCGACGCGAAGGCTCTGGAGGAGAAGGTTCTCCAGCATATCGTTCATCATGCCGGCCATGCCCGAGCTCTGCTCCATGCTCGATCGCACCTTGTCCATGACGGCGGCGAACTGAGCTTGCATCGACGCAGTGTACTGCTGCATCGCAGCGGCCATCGGGTCGGCCATCGCTGCTCGCCAAATCACAAACGTGTTTGATACACCTGTCGTGTGGTGTTTAAAACACTTGGTCGGCATCGAAACATCATGTTTCAGACCGCTCTCGGACAGAATGCTCTGCAAACGTGTTATAGCGTCGTCGCCTCGACACAGAGTTGACTCGCGCAAGTGTTTGATTTGCCTGAAGCGCGATCACGGACGGGACTCAAGCCAGGCGTATGATCCGATTGGATGGAGGGAGCCGTGTGCTTCCAAGAAAAACCATGAGCTGCTCAGCTTTGCATGTCATTTTAAATCTGTGCAAGTATATTTACACGGTCGCCCAGTGGGCGATGTGTGCTGTCGACGCGCACTGAAAGCATTCTTGCCGCCGTACAACACACAACCGTCGTCGCCGCGTCGTTCAAAAGGCGACGACCCAGTCCAAGGTAATGAATACTACCACACGCAATGCGTGGCGGTCCATTTCTAGGTCCGTTGCCATCGAACGAGGACTTGCAGCACAACAGGTTCGAGTCCAGAAAAGCAAGCGGCAAGGTGCCACACACCTTACATCGCTTCCGGATGGCTCCTTGCGTCTTACAAACGCCAAGTGGAGCTATCCAGCATCCGGATAAAGTAACATGAAACGCCACTAGGTACACGTGGCAGCCTAGCCGCTGACTACGAACCAGATCTAAGTCCAGTGGCGTCTCCGAGACGCTCTTGCGTACGCATTGCAAGCGGCCTCTTGGGTGATTCTGGTACATGGACGGCAGGCAATTCGTATGCATTGCAAGCGGCCTCTTGGGTGGTTCTGGTACATGGACGGCAGGCAATTCTACTGTCGTGGAGTGAGCAGTCGCTCAAGTGCCAATCGCTGGCAAGTGGTCGACGCATTGATGTTTGATAGGCCCAGTAGCAGTTGCGTGCAATAAGCTTTGCATCTCGTCCTGCCGAGATCGGTGGCTCGGACCAATCGAGTAAGATCGCAGTCATTACACCAGCATGGCCAGTCGTCCGTCATTCTTCTTTGCCGTTCCACGACCATGGCGAAGCGGCCGCTGCTTTTTCTCGCCGCCCTGGGGCTCGTCGCGACCATCGACGCCATCCCCAACCACAGCGTCTTGGTGACGGCCCCCTGCGCTGGCATTGCCTGCGTGGTCGACGCCGCTGGTCGACCAATGCAAACCATCACATCGAGCGATGCCATGGCTAACGGCAGCTTGGACGGCGTTTCAATCGCTCGCGTCGAGCGACTGCCCAACGTTCCTGCAGTGTAGGACCCTCAGGTTGACGAAACGACGCTTCTTCATGCGGCATCGACTAGCGTGCTTCGCGACAATGGCATGACGAGCTATGGCGACTTTAGCGTCGACGATTCCGGGCACCCACTGCACCTCCTCGAGCTGTACGACGCGCCATTGACGCCGACGCGCTGAGTCTCTCTGTATTAGCTCCCTCGTGAACCAAGCCTTTCATGCTCTCGGGAGCAACTTTGCGTTGCCATCGACGCTGCTGCTCTTGTACGCCGACGACGACAGCGTGATTGCATGTGCTAAGACACGTGCATTAGGAACTTGTCGGGCACGCCGCTGCAGTCCATCCATGATGTCGCCTTTCCACCGAGCCTCGGAAGCCTGTCCGTCGTCCGTGATGGCCTGACTGCTCACGAACAAATGATGTAGGGACTTGAGTCATGCACGGCTACTGGACTTTGCCGTGTCGCCAACGTCGTTCAACGTGCTTGAAACACTCCCAACGTTTGGGCACAACTGCAGTATCACGCTGCCGCCCACGTGCAACGGAACGGTGCAGTCGGTGCTAGGCGGTGCGTATCACATCTGCGTCTTGTCGGCGCACAGCACACCGTCGCCGACCACCTTTGGCGCTGCTACGGTCACCCCCACGACGACGACGACGGCGGCGCCGACGGACGTGTACGCCGTCTCGACGTCCAGCGGCGGTAACCACAGCGCGACGGCGACGTCAATCGTGCTCGGTGTTGCCATCGTGCTGGTCGTCGTCGTCTTGGTCGCGCTCGTCCGGCGTGCACGACGTGATCCGGGCGAGCCGACGGACACTGTCTACAAGCGCCAAACAACTCGGGGCTCGATCGTCTCGGAGCACGACGTGCGCTTCGATGCGTCGATTGCGTCCTGGCGCCTCCCGCGCACCAACATCCAGCTACGACGACTGGTCTCGACCGACGCGATGGGTGGGCGCTACAACGGCGTTTGGGCACCGACGCAGACGCCGGTCGTCGTCCGGCAACTGCTCACGGGCGCCGACATGGACCGCTTCATGCAAGAGATCTGCCGCTGCACGTCGCTGCGCCACGACAACGTGGTGCGCTGCATCGGCGTCTTCTGGAGCACGTCGTTCGACATCGCGGTTGTCGAAGAAGCGTGCGCCCTTGGGTCGCTCTACGACTACATGACGACGCGCGCCGGCGACCCCACCTTTGGCTGGACGAGCGTCACGGGCCTTGTGACGCGGCTTTCGGTAACGCGGGACATTGCGCGCGCGCTCGTGTATCTACACGAAGAGAAGCAGCAGGTGCACGGCCAAGTGCACTCGGAAAGCGTTTGGATTGCAGCCACGGGCGCGGCCAAGCTCGACGGGTTCCGGTCAGCAAAAACCACGCGCGTGGCGACCGTCGCGCCCGAAGTGTGCGCCGGCGGCTGCCGGAGCTTGGCCGCCGACGTCTACGCGCTCGGTGTGCTCATGTGCGAGATGGACCACGGCTGTGCGCTCGAGGCGAAAGCCACGAGCGACGAGACGCTGCGGGACGGCCTCCAGGACATTGCCGCCGGCTTCTTCCGCCCCGCGCCGACGACCAAGTGCCCGTTGGAGATCGCAGAGGTGATTGCGAGCTGCGTGCACGCCGACCCTGCACAGCGGGGCGCTGCGAGAGACGTATATCGCCGCGTGTCCGAGTTCCACGAGTACTGTCAGCGCCACACCGCCGCGCTCCTCCTTTCGTCGCGGTAGTCTTTTGTCGATGTCGCCCGCCGACTCTTGTGTTGTGTTGCATGCATGAGCGCTCTGTAGTGTGATGGACAACAACTTGTCATACAGTAGTTACTGTGCCTTTAGCTGGTGCGTTCGGGGCCACGCAACGAGACCAACAAAGGCCGCGAGGACAAATGCGAGAAAGCCGAGCGCTGGCAGCGCCGAGCTTTCAGTCGCGTTCTGTCGCGTCGCCACCGATGGCAACACGCCGTTTTGACGACGCATGGACGCTGGCTTGCGCACGGCGGCGGTCGGCGGCGCCAGTGTCGCCGGTGCCCACCCTGGGAGGAGCGCTTCAATCGGCGACGCATCCTCGTACGGCACCCAGTGCAGCTGCTTGCACGACTGCTTGTCCGACACGTTGGGCTCAAAGACGAGCCCGGAGTAGTTGAGGTACGCAGCGAACGACCGGACCGTGCCCCAGCCATAGACGTCGAGTTCTTCGGCGTCGATTTCACCGACAAACGGGACGCCAACGAGGAACTTGACGCGGTTGTTGGCGCGCGCGGTCTCCAAGTGCTTGGTCGACATGTCGACGCGCAGCTCAAAAAACCTGCAGGAGATCGTTGATTTGCTCTCGCATTGGACACTCGAATGTATCGTACTTGGCAGGGACGGCCGTGTAGTTGTGGTACACCACGAGACCGCGGGTGCTCGGCGAGTACAAGTCGTAGCCGTGCGTCCAGAGGTGCGACGCGCGGAGGAATTCTTCGCCGTCAAACATCCACTTGGTGTGCGAGTCGATTCGCACGCGCTTCTCGGCGTGGCACTTGCTGAACGAGAGGCCGGCGCCCCAGAGCGCGCCGAGCTGCGGCTGCTCCGAGTCGTAAATGAGGTCGGCGGCGACGTTGCGGACGTTCCCAGAGCCGCCGCGGGTCGTCTGGCAAATGTGTGGCGCCGTGCGGGCCCCTACTCCATGGATGAAATTGTCGCCTTCAAAATGGACAAGAGGGTACCGAGGTTGGTGCCATCGGACAAGATGTGCGAGTCAATGTTGTGGAGGTACGTTGTGAGGACGGCCATCTCGTTCTCGGTGCGCTGCCACTCTTGCACGAGGAGCGTGTCCCACTGCGTCGTAAACTCGCTGTGGGCGTCGAGCTGGAGGCAAAACTCCTCGTCGCGCACCAGGTCCTGCTGAAAGTGACGCGCGTACGTCGGCCCGCGTGACTCGGCCGCGTCACGAGAGTCGATGCGGATCTGGTCGCGGTACTTGCATGGCAATTCCGGCCACGCCTCGGCGGCGAGAGCGCAGTAGGCGTCAATGCACGAGAGGTCAGCCTCGAGCAGCTGGTCGACGACGCCAAAGTAGAGCTTGTCGGGTCGCGTCGCCCGGGAAAACCCGGTAAAGATCGTGTACCCGCAGCGTGCACCGTCGCGAAAGGCCGAGAGACCCACGAACATGTCGTACTCGGACGGGAACCGCGGCGCTGGCGGCCGCAGGTGGGCGAGCGCCGGGTCCAGCGGTGTGTGCTGCCTCGTGGGATCGAGCGGGACGCGGATCGTTGGGCGCTTGGAGGCCGTCTTGTCCTTGTTGTGGTCACGCACGGAAAGCTCGGGCCCCGCCTCAGTCGCAGGCCACAGGGCGGCCACGACAGACAGGAGATATACGAGCTTCATGGCGTGTTGTCGAGTCCGTCGATCATTGCACCCGAGACCCTCTTTTGTGGACCACCCGGTAGGACCCACAATTGCTGCTGGATACAAGAATTGCTGTCTGTAGAGGGGGTCTCCCTACTTTTTCAAGGGTACCTGGGGAAAGACATAGGGGGTCAGTCAAGGTCACCATATGGGTTCGAAAGTCGGGTCCATCGAATCGCGCAACGTGGCAGTCGGAGAGCATCGGACTCTGCGGGGAATTTGCAAAATCAGCCCACTTTGGACCCATGGTTTGCAAAATCAGTTTTTGTTTGCAAAATCAGCCCCCATTTTGAATTAGGGGGCTGATTTCTTGTTTAAATTCCACTATTGAGTACCTGCGGTGCAATCGAAAACTTGCCAATTGTCCATTGTACACAAACACACTGCCAAGTCGGTGTAATT